CAGCTGTATATTTTGGTGGCAGCTGTATATTTTGGTGGCAGCTGTATGTTTTGGTGGCAGCTGTATATTTTGGTGCACGTCGTTGATCCCAGAACTTAGGAGGCAGGGCCTGGTGGATCTTTGTGAGTTCCAGGTTAGACTGGTGTACATAGTTTATTCTGGCCAGTGAGATCTACATAGGGAGACTTTGTCTCAAAAGTTAAAACATCAAGAGTTCAGCATGGGCTCTGTTACAGAGAAGAAAAACAACCTAGCCTTTCACACCTACTCAGTGTTGCAGGTTTCAGACCAACCCCCCTCTCACTGAGCATCTAGACTATTTCAGCTCCCATGGCAACGATCACATTTGACCTGGGTGGAAGCATGTGTGCACTGTGGGTCCAAGAAGGCCAGGCTAGCCGGAATCCAGGCTAACTGGAATCCAGGCTAGCTGGAATCCAGGCTAACTGAGGAGTTGGTGATCAGTTGGCCACCAAGTTCTCCTCTGAGTTCTAGGCCTCTGTGCCCAAGTTCTTCTGGAAACTAAACTGCTTTTTTGCTCTAAGGATAAGAAAGGAAGTATGCATTCACCCACTCGTGAGTTCATTCATTTGTGTATCCATTCACGCATACATAATCAATCATGGGGGAGTTCGAGAGAGGTATACTGCATCAGAAGAGGTCAGTGTGAATGGGAACAGTTGAAATGGTGTTGGAGGGGAGCTGGAAACAGCTTTCACAGGAAACTGGTTGTAGATGAGAGGGGACGGAAACGAGGAAGAGGATGAAGGTTGGTATGCATCGAGTGAGTGGAGAAAAGATCCGGGTCCCCAGAACTTTTTCCTTCCCCAGCTGACCTGCTCTGTTCCTGGGAGGAGGACCGAAAGTTGGTCCTACGTGGCTGGTCCCTCGTCTTCATCTTCCTGGCAACTTTGTTGGTGTTCAGCGTGGTGGATGGGCGGATAGCCTACTTGCAAGGTCCGTACACGGGCTTCATCGGCCTCTGGATTGACTGCAGGAGGCATAAGTGTGCCAACGTGGGCCAATTCACTGGTCAGTGTGTACACAGACTATGGGGCCTGTTAATGGTGCTAGGGATGACTGTGGGGGTGGGCCACTGGCACTCTCCCAGAAGTCTCTCTGGGGAGTAGATTAGGGCTCACAGTGGGGCATTGTCGGTGGGTAGCTCTATGAGTAGCAGTAAAGTTATCTTAGAATTTCTAGGTACTAATTTTGGTAATGTGAATGAAGGTGATGTTTTTTTCTTTTTTGTTTTTGTTTTTTTTTCGGGGGGGGGGTTTGCTGGAGCTAGAATCCAGAGCCTTACAAACACTCCACAGGGGATCTACCACTGAGCCACGCCCCCAGAAGAACCTCATTGGAGGATTCTAGGCAGGGGGCCCCTCATTGGAGTATTATTCTAAGCAGATGCTCTACCTCCGAACTAAGCCCCTCATTGGGGGATGGATTCTAGACAGGTGCTGAGCTACATTCCTGTCCTCTGCCTTATTTGAGACAGGGTCTCATGTAGCTCAGGCTGGCCTCCAGCTCAATGTGTAGCTGTGGATAACCCCTTCGTGTGCTGCCACACTCAGTTCAGCCCAGTACTGAGGATAGAATGCAGGACTGCACACATGCTAGGCACGCATTCTGCCAATGCAGCCACAATGCCAGGACCCTTAGACTGCATTTACTTCGTATTTTGAGACAGATAAAGTCTATGTGTCTCTAAACTGCTCAGACAGGCCTTGAAATGGCACTCCTCCCCATCCGCTGCAGTACTTAGGTTGGGCTCCTCATGGTGTGAGAGGAAGTGAAAGGAAGGGGAGAGAGAGAGAGAGAGAGAGAGAGAGAGAGAGAGAGAGAGAGAGAGGTAACTGTGATTATCTCTCCGACTCTCCTTCCCAGTTTACATTCACATGAGCAAGGGCTTCATATTTCTGGCCCTGGCACTATGCCTCATCCTCCTGCCCACCATGTTCCTCTCCTTCCGACCAGTCTGCCGCCGACTGAACAAGATAGACTTCATCTTCAGTTTCCTCAGCACTGGCATCGGTAAGTGTTGGCAAGGACAGGGGTGACTGGGGGTCCCCCACTCAATCCCAGAGCTGCCTCCTACGCAGAGGTGTGGCTGGATTTTCAGTTCTGCTGCTCCAAGGGAGAGGGCTTTTTCTCTGTAGCTCAGACTGGCTGTGGTCTCACTCTGCAGTCCATGCTGGATATGCCATTTGAATATGCCATTCTCCTGCCTCAGCATCATAAGTAGCTGGGATTAAAAGCTTATGCCCACTAGTTGTGACTGATGGCTTTCTCTCTCATTTTCCTTGCCCCTCTGAGTATGTATCCATTTGTCCTGTTGTGTGTGTGTGTGTGTGTGTGTGTGTGTGTGTGTACACGTGTGTCTATTTGTGGCAGGTCAGGGAGGCTGTCTCTGTCTTTATCCTTTTTGGGGTGGTGGTGTTCCCTGTCTAGCCTTTTGTCCTTCTCTGGCCCCACCCCAGTGCAGGGCTCCTGATTCTCCTCAGCCTGACGCTCTTTGTCGTCAACTGCAATAGGCTGCGCCCGAGGCCACAGGTATCCTACCAGCTGGCCTTCTACCTGTGCTGGTGTGCCAGCGTCTTGATGCTGTGGGCCGGTGAGGGCGGGGCCTCGGATGGAAGGGCGGGGCCTGGGCAGGGCAGGGGCGGAGCCCAGGAAAGGGGGTCAGCCTCCAGAGTCGAGTTGGGGCTTGGAGTGGGGCTCTGAGTCGAGTGCCCACGGGGTCCCTTCCCACAGGAACTTTGTCGTTCCTCAACCAAGTGCGGATGTGGAACTACAGTACGCCTTTCATGGAGCGGAGGCTCAGCTACTTTCGTTGGGCCTCGCGACACCACTCGTTGCAGTTGCAGCACTTGGAGCCCGCCCAGAAGCTGTCTGCTGCAAGCAGCTTTGTGAACTACCATGGGGCTCCCCAACAGAGGGACGCCGCAACTTCTCAGGACACTGATGAGTCCCCGCGGCCAGATGCCTCTACCTCTGTCCCTGAGGCTCAGTTTCCATCAGACCTCCCTTGAGGTCCCATACTTCCCCTGAGAGCAGGTAGCACTCTCGGGCCACAAGTGGCAAGCCCCGCTCCCCGCGCTAGGGCCCACTCCTTGCTGCCTGAGTCTTGGCTGGGACCGTACTCTGGAAGTCCTCCAATATTCTCAGCTGTGGCTATGTCCCTCTGAGCAGACACTGGTTTGTGGTCCCAAGCTGAGGGAGCAGTGTGGTCCTTTTCCCAAGCTGGGCGATGCTCCGCCCCACAGGGCATGCCCCTAAGCCACTCTTCATCCTTTGGTCCAGCCCTACCAGAGACATCCAGGGGCCCCAGGTGGACACTATGCAGCCTAGCCTTGGGGGCAGTCCCTGCCCTTCTGTGGACAGAGCCCTCCCCAGGAAGTCAAGGCTTAATTAATGTAACACCCCTGCCCCCTTCCTGGCTTCCCCGACTCAATAAAAGCAGGTCGGCAGTCTAAATTTTCAGTGTCAGACTGCTTGTCACTTCCTCTGCTTTCAGTGTAGGGTCAGGCATAGCTGGAGTCGACCTTTCTGATGCCTCTAACTTTTTTTCCTTTGTGATCTGAACATTTTCCTTGCCAGAGGAGACTCAGGTGGCATCCTTGATTTGGTCTGAGCCTTTTGTCTGCATTTGTCTCAACCCCAACCCCTTAGCCAACAGTATATGTACACCTGTCCCTTGCAAGTCCTGACTTTAGCTGGGTGGACTTTGATTTGCTGCTACTCAATTCCAGAAGGCCAGAGCATGTCAGACCTTGAACTCATTTGCTGCATGATTGGTTTTATTGAGAGCAGGGGACAGTGTGACACTCAGGGGTTTTTCTCCATAATGTCCTTTATCCAGGATTTGAACTTGATAAGTTTGGTGTAGATGGCCGGCTTATCGGGTTCAGCGCATGGAGAGAGGCCCCATGATGTGAGACCCTGGAGAACACCGTCACAGATCAGTGGGCCTCCGGAGTCACCCTGAAAACAGGACAGGGGCAGGAGTAAGGAAAGGCCTGGCAGTTGGGTTCTACTTGACAACTGGGAACTCACTCCCAGGGAGAGGAAGGCAGGGACTCTTAAGAGGCAGCTCTGGCTAGTAGGAGAGAGTATCCAGCTTTTAGGAGGCCAGCTCTGACAGGGACAGTCCCTGAAGCCAAGTCAAAGAGGAAAAGCAGTACCAGCTATAGGTTCCTCCCTCCCAGCATGTATAACTTCCATAGGGAAGGATGCAGCGCATCTGCCTAGGCGGGGTGTTGAAGTGGGAATCAAGACCTTCAGTTCCCTCTTTCAGTCCTTCACCTCACTACAGGGAGGAGCTGTCTCACCGCACAAGTGTCTTTGCCTCCAGCCATTTCTCCTGCACACAGCATGACATCTGTCACCTTCTCTGGGTGGGCTTTGGCACATATCTCATTAGACAGGAGCTCAATGTACACACACTGGAGATCATCTGGGTATTCATCTGGTGGGTCAGGAAGCAAGAGGGTGGTGAGCAGACCCCAGCCCCGTCCTCTCTGCCCCCCCCGCCCAGCTGTGTTACTTGGACCAGACTTACACTTGATGGGTGCAGTGCTGCCCCAGCCTGAGGCAAGGCAGGTGCTCCCCACCGTTGGTTCCTCATTGGGCAGGTCAATGACCTTCACAACATCTGTGAGTTCAGCAGGCTTGCTGAGGTGGAGCATCATCAGGTCATTGCTGTAGTCGTCCCCAGGTTGTCGGGTGTGGTTCTTCATGAGGGTCATGTTGAAGTCAGGGTGAGGGAAGCTTTGGCTGACAAGCCGGTGCTGAGCAAGGGGCTCATGCTCATATAGGTTGTTTTTGCCCAGCCAAACCTGGTACTTGCTGGGGACAGGGAAGGAGATGGAGGGAGTGAGAGGAGGCAACCAGAGAGGTTGGGCAGAGTACAGGGGTAAGGGGGAGGAGAGAGGGAGGGAGGGAGGAAGGGAGGAAGGGAGGAAGGGAGGAAGGGAGGAAGGGAGGAAGGGAAAGTCAGAGACAGAAACACACAAACACACACATACATACAGAAACACACACACATATACGCATATAGAGACAGAGATAGAGACAGAAACAGAAGACAAGGGAAGAGGGGGCAGGGAGGAGGGGGTAGGCCTGAGAGCTGCTCAGGTGCAGCTGGGACTGGGCTAAACTTCCCGAGCAGGTAAGGCCTGGCCCACAGCCCAAGGTCTGAGCTCTCTCCCTCCCCCAAGCATCCTGCTTTCTCTGTACTCAGTTACCATACCCAGCTCCAGCCCTGACCAGACCTTCTCTGTGTGTCCTCAGAGTGGACAGAAGGTCCTAAAGGCCAAGCTGGTCCGAGGAGACTCACACACTATACTCAGGGCCAGCATTTTCTATCCTCAGGGCCCTTCTAGGCCTGCTCCCCGCCATGGTCAGTACTGATAAGAGAACACATGAGACCCAGTCCCAGACAGGGCTGGGCAGAGACCCAAGGGGGAGACACTCAGATGTGAATACAGACAGGAGACACACGGACAATAAGACAGAAAAGAAAGAAACAGGACTCGAACACAAGCCTGGAGGGAGGAGCAAAGAGAGACTCAGGAGGTCATGGATAGACTTTCAGCCAGTCTCAACCTCCTGCCCTTCAGTACCCCAGCCTGCCCTGGAGTCCTGTTCTCTGGCTGCCATCCTGCTTTCCTGTCTCCTCCCGTACTCACTCGTTATAGCAGTGGGCAGCGGTGAGAACCCAGCTGGGGTCAATCAGGACACCCCCGCATTGATACTTGGTGTAGCGGTACACAGCCACATGCCAGGGTTGGGAATTCTTCTCACAGTTAAATCCTCCGACAATCCGAGACTGCATGGGAGGTACAGCATCTGCCACAGGAGCAAATGGGGGGAAGGGAGGGTTGGCACAGATAGGGAGGTGTACTGTTGGGGGACACGGTTAGGCAGGGCTGGGATCAGGGGACATGGCCCGGGATCTAGGGAAGGGACTCATGCATGGCTGGTCCTGGATAGGGAGATCTATGCTGTGGGGACAGATGGGCTAAGGGATGGTAGGGCGACGAGGGGGTGGGGGGATTCCAGTCCATTCTTAGCCCAATGAGAGTGAAATCAGAGGCCAAGAGGCTTTGCCATTTAGTGTCTCCAGGGCTTGAGAAGAAGTCAGGGCCTGGGCTGGGTTTTGGGACTTCTGGAAAGGGGGAGGTCTCAGAAAACTAGATTTGCGTGAATAAATGAATCCAGAAAAGGGAGCTTGGGGATGATTTGGGGTTTCCTGGATTGGGCATGAAGTGGACAGCTGGAATGGGAGAAAATGAGGTGTTTCCAGATCAAAGGAGCAGGGTTAGGTTCTGTGGTGCAGATGATATCTAAGAGGGATGGGGCTCCCTAAGAACAGACAAGCAATGAGAGAAGGAAATTCTGTGGGACTGTGAGGGAAAGGCTCTGCTCCCTGTGGAGGTGGGGCAAATGATCTAGTGTTGGAGAGGCTCAACGTCCTCTCTCTCTCTCTCTCTCTCTCTCTCTCTCTCTCTCTCTCTCTCTCTCTCTCTCT